TAGGAACACAATAAATATTTGGTAATATGAGTGAATGAATGAATAAAATGAAATTTGAAAGATGCAGTGAATGGATTTTATACTCCCCCCTAGTGTTTGAAAGAGAAAGTGCAACCAATTAAAAAAAAAACACCTTGCTACATTGAACTAATAGTTCAAAGCATTGCTTTTTTTTTTTTTTATAAAAAACAAAACAAAAAAAAACCTATCACACTTATTTTTTCAGGCCTGCTGTTCTCTTTAAATGTAGTGAATAATAAGGCCTCTTTATAAAAATTGTGCTCTATGTCATGAGCTTTTGAATTCTGTAAATGTCTTAAAACCATTTGGGTTATTGGTTGTCTTTGTTTTCAGTTCTAGAGAAAACTATTTTGATTAGAGTAAATTGAGTGTCATAGTCACTTGTTCTTCTTTTGTGTGTGCTTGTTATAACTGTCATTCAGGAAATTTGCAGAATTGGATATTGAAGTGCAAACAGTGAGCAGACTAAATGGATGTTATCTAAACTAGTTTTCAGTCCAGCTTATTAATGTTTTCCCCTTATTTCTGAGAGCTGATGTGTTTTTATGATTAAATACCTTTTTCTGATTATAAAAATGAGATGTGTTTAACATAGAAAGTGTAGAAACTATTAGAAAGGGAAAATAATCTGTAATTCTACCATTCAGGTAATTTATTAAAAATTATAAAATTAATATATATATTTTTAAGACATAAAATAAAAGATACAAATTTAAAAAAAAAATTCTTCTTCATTCCTCCCCAATCCTCTTGTCCTCTTCTTACAGGTTATCCTTGTTGGGAGATCAGTGTGTATACTTCCAGATATATTCTTGGACCTATATACATATGTAGGAGCTCTGGTGGCATAGTGCCTAAGGTATCTGACTGCTAACCAGAAGGCTGGCGGTTCAAACCCACCAGCCACTCCTCAGAAGGAAGAGTGGGCAATCTATTTCCTTAGAGGTACTGCCTCGGAAACCCAAGGAGGGGTCGCTATGATTCAAATCAACTCCATGGAAGTAACTTTCTTTTTTTGGTTTTATAGACATAAGGGCTTAAAAATTGATGTGATTATATTACAACCTGAAACTTACTTTTTAAAGGTTTTTTTAATTGAAATATGATACACATATAGAACAGTGCACGTCACAGGTCTACAGCTTAATGAATTTTCACAAATTGACATCCCTATTTAACTAGCTCCCAACTCAAGAAACATTGCTAGCCCTCTTCAAGCCCTTCCTATCAGTTTTTTCACAATGCTGTTGAAGCACAGAGTGAGTAAGTACTTAGTCAATGGTGGCATAGATAGAACTTGGTTATTCTGCCTTAGAAACGAATGAAGAAAGTTATTAACGGTTTTAGCTTTGGTGGCTGTTATGAGAACTTACATTGTTTAAGTGATTTGGACCGTGTTTTTGCTATAAAGTTTACTGGTCTAAATATTTATTGAGGACCTTATTGTGTATGTCTTACTGTGCAAAATCTGGAAGGACAAGATACAGAGACAAATACAATACAAACTCTCAGCAACAGTCTAATTGAGAAGACAAACTGCATATTAAACGTAGAATATTTAAGTACTAAATTGTATAATTCAGCCATTCCTTGGAAGGAAGGTTGGGAAATCTACTTCCGTAGTGGTACTGCCTCAGAAACCCAAGGAGGCGTCACTATAGTGAGTCGGGTCCAACTCAATGGCACATAACAACAACAACACAACAAATTGTATAATTGTTGTTAGGTGCTGTTAAGTCAATACCAACTCACAATGACCTCATGTGACAGAGTAGAATTGCCCATAGTGTTTTCTTGGCAGTAATTTTACAGAAGTAGACCATCAGGTCTTCTTCCCTTGGAGCTGCTAGGTAGGTTCAAACCACAAACCTTTAGGTTAGCTGTGGAGCACTTCACCATTTGCACCACTGTTGTTGTTTGTTGTTGTTATGTGCTGTTGATTTGGACCCAACTCATAGTGACCCCTCCCTGGGCTTCCGAGGCAGTATCACTACGGAAGTTAGATTGCCCCATCTTCCTTCTGAGGAGTGGCTGGTAGGTTTGAACCACCAGCCTTCTGGTTAGCAGTCAAGTGCCTTAGGCACTATGCTACCAGAGCTCCTATTTGCACCACTAGGGATCCTTAAATTGTGTGGTAGTGATTCAGAAAATGAATCATTGCTGAAAGCATCAAAGAAGGCTCCACAAGGGAGGTGGAATTTGAGCTGGGCTTTCGGGAATGGGTTGGATTTAAATGGGATGGTTTTAACAGCACAATCAAGGCAAGAAAGTAGAAATAGACCAACATGATACACAGACAATCAGCAAGCAGCTCACTGCAGATTGTTCACCCTTTCTGGACTCAGTATCTTCATCTGTAAAAATGGTGAAAATATCTATTTCATAGGTTTATTATATTAAAAAAACTAATATAAAATTCTTAGCACAGGGCTTGCGCCTGGTAAATGTGCAGTAAGATGAACTGGTTCTGGAGTTCTTCAGAAGAGCAATTGGAAAAAAAGCTGTGGTATGCAGAATAAGGGAGACTAGAAAAAGTGAGTTAGGCCCACAGACATGGTGGTGTAAGTCTCTGTTAAAAAAAAAAAACAAAAAACTCACTGCCATTGAGTCATTTCCAATTCATAGAGAGGTAGGTAGATTGCCCAGTCTTCCTTCTGAGGAGTGTCTGGTGGGTTTGAACCTCCAGCCTTCTTGTTAACAGTCAGATGCCTTAGGCACTGTGGTAATATGATGAAAAAAGTAAATTTGAGGGACGTGAAAAGAAACTAGACTTGAATTTCTTTTTAGAGGTAAATGTTTTGGGACTTCTCTGTAATCTTCCATTAGACAGTTAATGGGCAAACCAGTTCGTGGTTTCTTGGCTAGAGAGACTTTTGGCAAGATGAATTTGACTTTTTAAATTTTCATTTAAGGCAGTTGAATCTTCCTAAGAGTTCCTTGTTTCTGTTTTAGAAGAGGATAGTAGAAGTTTGGTTTTTGTTTTACAGAACACTTGTGATACTAATGGTGAGACTGATAAGGTTTTTTTTTTTTTTTTTGATGTTGTGGCAAATTAATTGGTGCATGATGCTCTTGGAAGGATTTAATATTTAGTTTCTGTTTAATCCTTAATGAGGGGGTAAAAAAGCCTTTATCAAGAAAGCTAGAGTTTGAAGAAAGGTACTGATGCAGAAGTTTCCCTTGGACATCAAGAGTACCTTTTACATTAGCTATTTTACACAGTAGCTTTCTCAAGTATTGTTCAATTATTTTAATATGGAAAACAGAATTGCTGAGTTACACTGAGGAAAGTTGTAACTGCTCTGGGAAATTTTTGTTTTAGGTCAAAGGAAGGTGGAGAAGGGCTGGATTCAGCTTCTAACTAATCTGGTGACTTTTAAAGGCAAAAATCTAATGAAAATTTTCACATTTTGTTCTTTTAATGTGGAACTTAATAAAAGCTAGCCTATGATACACCAATCAAGTTCCTGTTTAAGTCTGTTTAAGCTAGAGTCTTTTAATTTGGTTTAGAAAAATGAACTAGTTTTAAAATGGGCATGTTATATAGCTCCTTTTCCATTTTTCCCAGAAAACTGACGTTATGTATATGAAGTGGTTTGAGCTCCACATAAGAAGGAGCTACTTAAATTTAAAGTGGTTTTATGTTTTAGTAGTTCTTGGGGAATTTAGGGTGGTTGTACAATGTGATGTAAATATTGAACATCTTGGATTTGCAAGAACTCTGGATAAAAATGACAACCTAGGTAAGTTTGCCTTCTTGGAGTCTGATTTTATTTTTCTTAAATGAGCCTCATGTTCTGCTCAACCACTAACCAAAAAACCTAACTCACTGCCATGGAGTCAGATCCAACTGGTAGCCACCCCTCCTTGGGTTTCTGAGGCGGTACCACAACGGAAGTAGATTTGCCCAACCTTTCTTCTGAGGAGTGGCTAGCTGGTGGGTTTGAACCGCCAGCCTTCTGGTTAGCAGTCAAATGCCTTAGGTACTATGCTACCAGAGCTCCCGCTCAACCACTGTTTATAAGAAAATTTCCTACAACTCCTAAGATATCCTACAAGCTTTACTATACACATCCCAGCAGCTTTATGCCCTAAATTGGCACTGGTGATTGAAATGTTGGTACAACCTGACATTTATGCTGTGGCCTGCCAATCCTTAGAGGTTTTTCTGATATTAAAGACATGGTTTAAATAAGATTTAGGTATTTTCTTCCTAGCTGTGCTGAAACCTGATAAACTAGTGACTGTCTTATGTTTAATTGGATGTAGGTGTGTCTTGTATCTAAGCCCGGTTGGAGCAAACTGTGGGATTTGTTTTATTTTTGCAGATAATTTGATGTATTCTTGATCCTCCACCTCACCGACTTAGAGATACGCACTTTCCCAACACGACCCACCCCCATCCTTTAATTTCTGCGTCACGGGAAGCAGGAGTTTTCGACAGGGAAGATTGATGTATGTAGAGTCTAATACGCAAACCTAAATATGTCCATGGTTACCAGGCAGTGCAATTCACTAATCTGAAAAAAGAAAGCAGAGCCTGTAGAGACTCATTTTACTGTCGGTGTCTCCTGGTGTCAATTGTTGGGCAAGTGGTGAGGCACTTTGGGAGGTACCAACCGGATGAGGCTCATCCTAGTACTCGGGAGCGAGGACGAAGGGTGCGCCATCATCTGGCTTTGCTGCGGGATCCTTGACTCCTAGCGTTAGGCTGTGTGTGTGGGGGTAGTAGACATGGGGGCAGCGCTAACAAAGAGGAGCAGCGCCAGGGCCGGGGCCGCGGGTAGCTGGCCTATCACCAGCAGCTGACCTCCCAGTGTGCCTCCCCAGTTGGCTGCTCTGCGAGTCTCTCCGCTGGCTCCTCGTCTCGCCATTGGCTGTGCAGACAGGAGGGGCTCGTCGAGGGTTGGGATGGAGTTGAGGAGGCGGGGCTGGCTTCCGGCGGCGGCGGTGGCGGCCGAAGGGAGCGAGCGGCGGTAGGCTGGGGGAGGGGGGGTGTCGGCGCACCGCACAGTGCTGAGCTCGGAGAGCCTGGCACTCGGAGCTGCCGCCTCCCCCTCCCCCTGCTAAGACTGCTAGAACCCCTTTCTTTTCTATGCTCCGGAGGTGGGGGCGAGGAGGGCTGAGCTGACCTAGGCGGGCGGGGCGGAGCCCGGAGCCCCACCGAGCGCTGCGGAGCGAACCCTCACCTCCCTTCTTGGGCGCAAGGTGTGTGTGCTTTTTCTAACGCAACTCCAAGTTTAGCCGACTTAACCTTGTAAGAAAAAGGAAATGGAATGGGAAGTAAGATTTCTAAATCCCATCAGTTTATTTTTATTTTCTAATTTTCCTGCTCTTCATCCTTTCCCTTCCTTTCATCTCACCTCTGCAGCAGAGTAAGGATATTTAGGACTCATCTCTTTTTACTGATGTGTTGATGTCTGTCGCATAGTGAAATGCACAGAGAAGGAAAAAAGGAGCCCTTTCTTGGGGCATCTGATGCAGTAAACCGCAAAAAAAAAAATTCTAGGAGTAGGAGTAGGTTTTTGGAGCTGTACTGCATCCGTGTCCATTGACGTTGTCTTCACCATCTTTCATACTTAGGATAGCCTTAAGCGACAAGATGCTAATAGAAAGAGTCAAATGGTGATTAAAGGAAATCCTGGTATTTATTAGAGATTAATTCTACTAAAGTCCTTTCGTTCATTGTCACTGGCTTTGTGTAGTAGCTCAGCTCTGTTGGAGAAACCCAGTTAGAGCCGGCAAACTTACCTTGCCGTTACTGAAACTTAAGTCTTCCCTTTTTCCCTGTGGGCATATATCTTATGTTCATACGTTCTCAGAAGGATTAGTTTCCATGGTCAAAAACCACACTTATCCAGGTGAATTTAATTAGTTTATTTTTACAAGGCCCACCGCCCCCCATGAATTTGGGTGGCTGTAGCATTACAATTCAAGTTGTATTTGTCTCTCTTGAATCTCTTTGCTTCTACAGCTTACAGATCCCCTCTTCCTGAAGGACAGGGATATCTGGCCAAAATCAGGAACCTCTTTGTAGTTTTAAAACGGAGAGGAAAATTACCTAAAATTTGTGTGATGTTAGAAACTCTGTGTGTGTGGTTGTATATGTGTTTGTGATGGTGTCTGTGTTCGTGGTAAACTGGGTTTAATGGAGTATTTTCAACCCAAGGTGTTTGGAACAGGTTTATCTTAATGTTGATTAGCAAACAGTTAGAATGCCAGAAGGGATGGATACAGATTTTTGGCAGCATGTTGGTAAAAATGAAATGATTTGGAGTTCATTTTCGCAACCCAGATTCAATTTCCAGAGATTCTTCTAACAGGAAACCAATTTTGAAGACAGCTGTTATGTCAGAGCTGTCTTACAGTTGGGTGGTATTTTTAAAATTATTATTTGCATTGATTTATACAATCGCTGACCAGTCTGAAGCAAGTTGGGTGAAGGCAAGTATTATAAAGAATAGGGGTGATGGGATAAGAAACCATCTCAGTTGTAGAAACTTACTAAGGATCAGGAAACTTAATATTTTTTAACATCTGAAGTAGCGTTAGCTAGAATTGTGCAAATAGTAGATGCATAGTAAATCTATGTTTTATTTTGGGTTTTTAATTTATTACCCATTTGTCTCTTAAGACTCCATGAATCATGTTGAAATTGGAATGGAAAGAATATCCCCTTGGTGTTGTCTTACTAACTTGTTACTAAAGAATGAAATGTTAAAATCACTGATTGAAGCTAGCATGTAAAATGAAGTACACTTTTGATGTCTAAGATGCAGCAAACTGGAGAAGTGGCCCCAAGTTGTTCTTGTTCTATTTGTTATCCTAGGTGGTTTTCTCTTTTTTTTAAATTATACATGTTTTATTATACTTTATTCATTTTATTATTATTTTTTAAATTTGTATTTTCTTGACTGATTTTTATATAATCACTATTTTGTATGTTGCAGTAATTTCCCCAAAGAATTTTTCCCAGGAGACAAAAGGCTGTATATAGAACTAGTAATAGATATATCTACATTGATCTCCAAATATGATTTAAGGGTGATGGAACCCTTAAATTTGGTGCCTTGCAGGGAAACAATTCTATGAAGCCATGACCTCCTATAATCTCTTAGATGAGGGCACATAGTGCTGCAAAGGCCAAAGTAGCTGATTTAATTTTATTTAGCAATCTGTTTTTATCCATCCTGCTTATTTCTGTGAGTCACAGCTTAGAATGTGTTAAGAAAAAGGGCCCTGTGTTCTCCCTAAAGGGAGACTGAAGCCCCCATTCACATCAGAAGTGTAAAATAATCCCCTGGAGAAGGTGAGGGAAAAGATTGGACCCTTGGCATTGCTTGATTTTTATAATAATCAGCTTGATAATTTGGAATTTGGAAAAGCTTGCTCAAGGTGAGGATATATTAGATATATATTAATATATATATATATATTACCTGGGAATGCTCTTCTTAATATGAGAAACTGACTTAGAGACAATGAATGCCTTCATGTGGAGATGTGGCTAGTGGTAGTTTTTAGCTACTCAGCTTTATCAGTCAGGTGTCAGAGACAATATTTTGTGTGTGTTTAAGCATATTAAGCATAACCCTTTTCCCCAGGAACTGACTCTTGGAAGCTGAATCTTTTGGAGGAGTTGTTTAGTTTGAGCCTGAATTCAGAGGATAGAGGACTTTGGAGTCTCCTTCTGTTTACAGCTCAGATAAGGGTGTGGTATTATGGCTGATGAGTTACTGAACTTTTCCTAATGAATGGTTGGTTGCTAGGCAAATAGCATCTCAATCAGTTTAGTCCTCAAGATGTAGTTAACAGGTCTGCTCTTGGTGAGAGCCAAAACTGCTTTTCTAATGATACTGCCCTTTAGGAATTCTTGTTGCATGTACATATACAGTGTATGTTGCTGAATAGCTTAGGATAAAGGACTAGAATGATGTGTGGATCTCACTTCATTTATCTAAGATGATTTTAGCTTTTGGTAATCTGGGCCAGTGTTATTATTAACTTCTCCTGGGTTTAAGCATTAGGGTGGAGTTGCTCTCCAGTATTAAGATAACCACGGTGTTTGATTATCTTTGGTTTTGTAACTAGTAGAGCAGTGAGCTAACACATTCATTTTGGAATCAGGCCAGTGATAACACTGCCCTTGGGCCTGGATAGATGGAAAAATAGGACAGAGTAAACAATTGAGGGCATAAATAATGAATCTTCCAACTGAGCCCTGGGAGAGTGAAGGAGATTATCCTCAGAGCTGTTCAATCTGGCAGTGAAAGGGAAAGAGTCTGCTGAATTAATTACCCGGACTGTGTTTGATACTGCACTTATTATGAGATTGGTAGAGTTCAAAACAGTTGCCTTTCAGATATAAACTTTTAATCCATCTTTTTTAGGTTCTTTTTTTTTTTAACCACTCAAATTGCTCATTTATTTTTTTAGAACCCAGGCCTTTGCCCTTTCCTTCAACTTTGTTCTATATAAGCCCTCTATAAGCATTGGACAGTCCTTTTGTTTGGCCAGCTTAAGATTTTGCTCAATTAGAGATTTTCATTAACTGTAAATCTGTATGATAATAGGAAAAAAAAAAAGAAGAAAAAGCCTGAGGCTTAGGTTAAAGGAATTCTTTGGTACCTGAGTGAGTACATATTATACTTTGAAATTACCTGTGGGTTGTAGGATATAATTATATAACAACTCACAAAAGGTTAAGATGAATTTCTTCAGCCCAAGAATCATTTCCAGTATTGAGGTGATAAATGTTTATGCTTTTGGACTAGTTAACAACTTTCATCCAGTGAGTTGAGTAAGCATACTCTTGTCTCAGCATTTCAATGAAGTAGGGAAAATAATATCTAATTTAAGACAGTGATGGGTGAGTAGTGAAGCCAGATCAAGAGTCAAGGTCTCTGAATTCTTCTCTTCTTTGATTCTGTTGTACATTTATTTTTTTTCTCCAAGAACTCCTTTCAGGATCCCTATTTGAAGTGATTTCACATCTTCCTGTCTCTACCCCGAGAGGCTGTTTTGTATTTCTCTGGTTGTGAAAGGAATCTAAAAACCAGGATGCCATTATCAATCAAGAGAAGAGTCAAGTTCAGGGTGAGGTTTGGGAGGAATAAAAGATGATGTAAACCAAAGGCCAAGTTGAAGTTTTATTGTATTTGCTTCTGATGGATCCCAGGAAGGGAACACTGATAAGATCAAATTCAGACATCAACTGAGTTTGTTACTTTTCAGCCTAGCTGAAAAGGGCAGAGATCATCTGTACCCATCCAAATAGGGGCAGCAGTCCAGGTGAGGTTTCATTGCTGATCAGAGTTCTTGACTATTCCTGTAGAAAGGCATATAGGCAAAGTATAAAAACCAAAAACTCACTACCATAAAGAAATTGCCACCACCAAATTTGTAAACAATAGTTCTAACTTCCTGTGCTTTTTAACTGGGATTTTCTAGCTGAGTAAACTGTTCAGGTTTTATGTTTTCTTTCTCAGATTATTCAAGAGACCCGTAGTCAAGATAGCCAAGAACTTAGATTACATTTAGCTTCTTAATCATGAAAACCAAACTTGTTGCATTGAGTCAGTTCTGACTCATATAGACAGAGCAAAATTGTCACATAGGGGTTCCCAGGATGTCATCTTTATGGAGGCAGACTGCTCCAATTTTCTCTCTCAGAGGGCTGGTCAGTTGGAACCACTGACCTTTTGATTAGCAGCTGAGTGCCACCAGGGCTCCTTAATCATTGAAATGGTATATAGCATAATATTAGAACTTGTTGTTGTTGTTGTTTGCCGTCAAGTTGGACCCGACTCATAGCGACCCCTCCTTGGGTTTCCAAGGCAGTATCACTACGGAAGTAGATTGCCCCATCTTCCTTCCGAGGAGTGGCTGGTGGGTTTGAACCACCAGCCTTCTGGTTAGCAGTCAAGTACCTTAGGCACTGTGCTACCAGAGCTCCTAATATTAGAACTAGGAGTGTTCAAATCAGTTTAGTGTTGTTGGGACAGTTTGACTGTTTTATTTAATACTTAAGATTTTTATCCTTGTTACCTATTTGCACTGAGATCCTGTGGAGAAATTGAGATCTTACAAGTTAAGTCATAGATAAACTAGCTTTGGATACTGGAATATCTTCTTTGTTCATATTCTCTGGCCCTACGATATGTGCAAATCATTCATCCTGTGAGGGAGAGCTGTAGATAGCCAAAGGA